CTGGGCTGGAGTACAGCAGACTCCCAGGCAAAAGGGATCCTCCTGCTTTGGCCTCCCAAAGTGCTAGGATTACATGCATGAGCCACAGTGCCTGGCCCCTCCTCAATTTCTTAAGTGAAGTTCAGAATCAATTTTGTAGATTAAGAAAATTACTTTCTTTTCTCTACAGCTCTAACTTGCATGGAAACAATTTGGGTTTGGGGTATTGACAAGTTCTGAAAATAAACACCCCAGTAGTCTTCTTACACAGGTCCACTCTATCAGCTAATTCACTTTTCACAGTAAGCGCTTGGTCAAAACAAACTTTTGCAACATCCTGGAAACGCAGGAGACAAATAGAGAATATAAGATACACAAAGTCAAGTAGCCTTGCCAATGTTTTTCGGTGAATCCTTGGCACTGTTGTAAAACCTGACGCGGAGACCCTGCAGAGTATTTATAAATGCCCAAATATCCTAAATTTTTATAATTTAGCCATTTCAAAATTTAGAAAATAATTTTAGCACTTTCCAAGTATGTACTTAATATTGTTTTAACATAGTATTTTCTGTCAAAGTGCCATTATCTTCTTGTTGTTAGAATAATAATAATAAATGTACAGATAATAAATAATAATAATAAATGTAAGATCCATATAAATTTTTATGATAGAAGACACAATAAGTATTTTTATCTTGCATTTTGAGCCTGAATTACATCTGACTTTTTAAGGACTATTTCACACAAAATGTAACAAAAAGCAATGCAAAAAATGATATGCCACCCTCTACTGTGTATTCCAATAGCACTCAGGATATACTAGGATCAGGTGTGGGAGGGGGGAGGGGGGTATATTTACACCTAATGGGTTCAAGCTGTCTGGAGGATGGGCAGGCTTGTGGCATTGAATGGGATGGTGCAAAGGCAATTTATGTGACCAAAGCGTTTGTACCCCCACAATATTCTGAAATTAAAACAAAAAATATATAGCTTATAGAATTTTTTTCATTGTTTTACATTAGATTAAACCACATACAATTGCAAATATTCTTTGCTTGGACCTACAAAAATAGCAAGTTTGTATAGATGAATTTAATTCTTAGCTACAGAACTAATGTGATTTACTCACTAATTATAAACAACTTGAAGGCAAAAGACTATACATTATTTGTCTTTCTATCTCAAGCACAGAGCATGCAGGACTAGACGAATAGTATATATGACAAATGATTGGTAAATTTAAATAAATGGATAAATGAATGAACTGCTCTCAGAATTCAATACATTTGAGTTTTAGGATGTAGCCCCCGGAAAAACAAATGCTACATTCAAAAGAAAACTATTGTTTTCTTTTGAATTTTAATTTGCATTTATACAATGGCAAATATCTAGATGACTGGCTATATATTTTATTGTTCATGGGGAAGTTGTGATGAATAGATACAGTTTAAAACTGAAACATAGTTACAGCTATAGAATTTCTATTCTTTTCTGTATACATTATACACCATACGAATAAACTATTAAACCTAATAAAAACAATTCTAGTCCTGACAGAAGTCAGGGCATACCAAATGTGTTAATTCCTGCATTTAAATATTCACACCTTGTGAAATATTACATTAGTTTCAAGAGGACAAATAAATAGAACATCCTTCTCATCAGACCAAAGGAAAATAGAACATATTCATCTGGGGGCGGGGGAGACAATGTACAGCAGGTTGAAATTTAAGCTACTGAAAATTTCTTGAATCTTGTTTTCAATTTTGCACTTGTAAAGATACCCTTATTGTCACATGCTTTTAAAAAAATGATACTCCTTATATGGTTTGTTGCTTATTATCTGCATGGTTTTTTGTCTAAACAAAACCTGCTACTCTATAGCTCCATACAGCTCGTTCATGGGTGGAAAACCCAGTTTGGTGCTCAGCCTGCAGGACCAGGACAAAGAGTGCTCCACAAACGGGCCTTGTTAGGGAATTCTGGCACTACAGTAAAAAAAAAAGGGAACTTTCTATTATGGGGCATTGGATCATTCTAGAAAAAATAAAAGCTACTCTTTCTGGGGATCTTACTGTATTTGTTTCAACATTTTATACATACCATTTTATATAATTTTTACAACAATCCTGCAAGATAAATATTGTCATCCCATTTTACAGATAAGCAAACTAGCTCAGAGAACTTAAATAGTTTGCTCACATCACTTAGGTAGAATCCAAGTCTCACACTGCAAAGCCCACTATCCTTCCATGCCGCAGTGCTGCCACTGGGCTGTGACGGCCTGAGCAGTACTTACTACTACAAATACTGAGTAGTACTTACTCTGTGCCTGGCATTGGACAAGGCAGTGCTCCTTGGCTTCATGAAGCTTATTGTGGGTGAGACATAAAATAAATACCTTCACAAACGCATATCGTCCAGTGGGGATAAACTACTATGAAGAAAAACATAGCAGGGTTACTGGAATGGCGTGCAAGGGTGGCTACTCCTTAGCTGGTGTGATCAGAGCAGTCGTCTCCGGGAAGGTACCACGTGAGCAGAGGCCTGGATGAAGTCAGGGGGTGAGACGTGCAGATACTGAAGGAAACCCTGGAACATACTTGAGAGATCCGTGGAACAGCATGGATTAAAGCCCTCAGGCAGCCTCCTGGAAACACGTTGACACGGCGCCAGAGTGATGGCATTCAAACAAATTGCTGTCTTTGGCAATTTACTTTCAGTCAGATGATGTTGAACCAGCTCACCCGAGGCCTACCAGTTTCCTCCCTGGGAAGTTCTTTGCTGCATCATGTCCACCTCCCCAAAGGGGCGCTTCCTGTAGGAGCAGGAAAACATCTGCAGAGGTCAAGCCTCGCATTCCTGATCTGGCCAGGTATTTTGCAAGTGCAGTCATCGTGGGTCTGTGGAACCCTGCTTTTCATGGAATCTTTGTCCTCTGGAAACTGGACAGGGCTCTATGTCTCCCTCTTTGCTCTGCTGCTGCCTCTCGAAAGCCTTAGGAGTGAGCTTGATCAGACAAGGAACCTTCCATAGAGCAAGCAGTGAAGGAGGTCACTGCCTTGCACCAGAGCTTTCATCTATATGTAGCAAGCTTCATATGTCTGCAGGGCCGGAGGAGACCACAGGTCAGCTTCAAGACAGTGGAACCCGCTCACACTTTCTTGCTCAATGAGAGCCCATACCTTTTGGGGAGCATATACATACCAATAAAATATTTTAATTCTCAAGTTTATGATATAGTGGAGGAGATGGACAACACTCCTACAATGATAAATGTCACTAATGGTACATGGTCTAAGCAAGTATGGAAGAACAAGAGATTGCTTTTAACTGGAGAGGTTAAATCAGGTACCCTGCAAAATGTCAGGCAAAGTGGCACTTAGTAAACATCCAATAAATATTAACTATTACTTTTATCAGGATTGGCTTCACATAGGAAGCAGAATTTGAGACAAGGTAGGATTGCCATATAAATTTGCAGGATGCCTAGTTAAGTTTGAATTTCAGATAAGCGACAAAAAATATTTAGTGTAACTGTGCTTCAAATATTGCATGAGACATACTAAAATGGATTTTTTGCTTATCTAAAATTCAAACTTAACTGGACACGCTGGTGTTTTCTTTTATTGTCTAAATCTGGCAAATCTAAGCCAAAGATTTTTTTAGCTTTATTGAAGTATAATTGACAAATAAAATCTTTATATATTTAAGGTATACAACTTGATGTTTTGACATACATATACATCATGAAATGACTGCCACAATCAAGCTAATGAGCATATATATCACCTCATATAGTTACCTTTTTTTGTGTAGTGAGAAAACTTAATATCTACTCTCTTAGCAAATTCCAAATATGCAATACAATATTGTTAACGATAGTCATTATGTTGCATGTAGGTCTCCGGAACTTATTTATCTTGCATGACTGAAACTTACAAGTCTGGCTTACTTCACTTAAAATAATGTCCTCCAGGTTCATCCATGTTACTGCAAATGGCAGGATTTCCTTCTTTGCCAAGGCTGAATAATATTCCACTGTGTGTGTGTGTGTGATATACACACCACATTTTCTTTATCTACTCATCCACTGAGGGACATTTAGGTTGCTTCCTTATCTTGGCTGCTTTGAATAATGCTGCAACAAACATGGTAGTGCAGATATCCCTTCTAGATCCTGGCCTCATTTCTTTGTATGTATATTCAGAAGTGAGATTGCTCGAGCAGGTGGTAGTTCCATTGAGCCAAGGAGAAAGATGACATGGAGATGAAGAACAGAGAAAGTAAATTGTCATGTCCAAAGGCACAGAAACAGAAAGGAACAGTATATTTCATGGCACTTCATGCTCTCCAATAATTTGTAGCACTTACTGAATGCTTACCATGTGACAGTTACTGCTCTGAAGGCTTTATAAGCTTGAACTCATTTATTCTTCATAAGAACACACATGGTGGGTTATCATCATCCTTATTTATTTTTTTTGCATTTCGGCATATTATGGGGGTACAGATTTTAAGGTTTCAATAAATGTCCATTTCCCCATCATCCTTATTTTTAAATGAGGAAATTGATCCATAAAGAGGTAAAGTAACTTGTCCAAGAGCACAGAGCTGGGAAACAGTGACTGGGATTATGAACCCAGGATGTTTGGTTCCCAGGGCTGCTATCTTAACCATTTTGGACAGAGAAAAATAATCTGTTCAACATAAGCATATAGAAGACCTCACCCTCCATATTCCTTCAAGTGTGGAAATACAGATATGTCCTCCTAGATTCCCCTTTTCATTCTCAAAGTCACCCTGTTCCTGGAATGTGGGATCTTCCCCTAACTGCTGGCTGGAGAATCAAATGCTACCTTTGCAACGGCTTATCGGAAGCAAACAAGCTGAGGAGGATTGAGCAAGAATTTCTGGGACACCAACATTATAGAAGGGACAAAGGATGGAGAGTGAGCATTGACAGTCTAAGCAGGACAAAGGTAATGATTAACCAAACCTGCAGCAGGTTTAAATGGATGGGAGCTAGGACTGGAGTCAATCCTTTCTTTCAGCTGGAGGGCTCTGCGTGAGCCAGCCCCTCCCTCAGAAAAGATGTTTTCCATGAGGATCATCTGCCTGGTCCTGAGTGTGGTGGGCACAGCATGGGTATGGTTCCTTTTATTTTCTCTTTGTGCCTTCTCTTTGATGTTATTCCACAAAGAGCCGGAGGGTCTGAGTCTACCTAGTCTATGTCCCGATACACTCTCAGCCTCATAAACTCCAGGCCTTGGAGGCAAGTGCCTAGATAGGGTGGACACCTCAAAAGTACAGGGTAATATGACCCCAAGACGAAGATCTGAGATGGACTAAAGCATCCAATTCAAAGGGGAAGCTTTAACATCTGTCATTCAGTCCTATAGCATTGCTGTAGTTGTTGTCGTGGTGGTTTAAAAGGCAAGAAATCTTTGCCATCTTTGTGGCTACAAAGGCTTAGGGCATTCTAATGCTAGTTAATGAAACAAAACATTGTGTGGTAGCATTTTTTCCCCTCTAATTCTTAATTTCTTGCTATTTGTCCGTAATAAGTAGAAAGTTTGGTTTTTAGTACTTTTTTTCTGAAAGGCTGTTTTTGTGTTTCTTTCAAGACAAAAAGAAAAAGCAAATGATTTATCTTTGGAAGCATCTTTGCAAAATCAGAAGAGATAAAGCAATATACTTTTTTAGAAGTAATTGTATTCTTTTAAGATAACGTCTAAATATTGCAATAATTTCTAAAATTAACTCTAGAGACATATATAAAAGAAGAGAAACTTCATTCAACAAGGCTTCTGAAACACTCCAATCTTACAAAATTATGACAAGTATGTTCAAGAAACTAGATTACTTCCTGGTTAGTTATCTAGGATGTAAATTATTCCAATTCATTTCTTGCCCTTTGCCACTCATAAATCCTAATATCAGAAAAAACTTTAAAAAGTTTTCTAACTTAATTTTTTTTCTTGTTGTAAAATCATAAATATAATTCTTGTGGGAAATAAAACTAAAATCATTTGCTAAGGTGATATTTTGAATAATGCATAGGTTTCAATTATTTCTCCTATTTCCTTTATTGGAATAATCAGTTTTTGACTGCTTTTATTGTTGTACTATTTTATTCTGAAATATGTTTGAATTTATTATTATATTTGTTGGACAAAAGAATTGTACTTACTCTTTTAAATAAATTGTTCTTGATTCCCTGAATTAGTATTATTATTATTTGGGTGTTTTTAAAAAAAATAAGAATGAGACTGCAATTGTTAACTAATTATAAGCATAAACTGTCCCAGATTAATGCAGTCACAACAAAATCCTTGTAAGTTGGTGGTTTAAAATAAAAAGTTAAAACCTAGAAGTCATCTTTATTCATTATGATACAAATTCTTGTTGAAAGAATTGTTTTATATTCCATTTCACAATCTGGTTCCCAAGAGAAATGTTTAAAATCTGTATTTCTGATTATAAGATGTTCAGAAAAAGTTGTCAAGTCACTGACCATTATTTTTGTTTTCAGTTTACTTCTTTTTCATTTCAAATAATAAGAAATTATTGCATGAATGAATAAACTAAAAAGTATTTCCAAGCCTGAACTGGCCATATTTGTGTCCTTGGTAAATGCTTATCCAAATCCTTCTCATAAAGATTACAGTAGAAATTTGAAGGTGAGAGGAATATTAAGTTAAGATAGTGTAGTTTTTTTTTCTACTGAAGCAGGAATTACAGAAGAAACAACTGTTTAAATTTTTCAATTATATATCTGTAGTCATTAGTAAAAATGGAAAGGTAAAATTTAACTAATTTTGTTGACTCAAGTAATTTTCCTTTTATAACGGATTTTTTAAAACATTTATCAAATGCTTATTTAGTGTCAAACACAGTTAAGAAATTTGTACAGCTTACCTCCTTTCATTCTCATAACAACTCCATAAAATGGGTCTTAAGATTTTCACTTGAAGATAAGAAACCTGAAGCTTGTGGAGGCCCTGAAGCTGGTGCCTCTCATCTCTACGAGAACGCCTTCTCTTCCTTGGGACTTGTAGGCTTGCCAGTCTCTCGTCCCCTTTTGGCTGATGTTGCTGTCGCTCTCTTTTGTGTGTGTGTATGAATCTTTAAAGGCTACAGATACCGATGGAGGTGAATTTTTAGCTGAAGGAGGAGGCGTGCGCGGCCCAAGAGTGGTGGAAAGACATCAATCTAGCTGCAGAGATTCAGACTGGCCCTTCTGCTCTGATGAAGACTGGGTGAGCAGGGGCCTGGGGAGCAGGAGTTTCCTTCCTTGGCGTGGTAGACAGGCTCACAGGCTGACCTGGCTGGTCCCAGAAACTTTTCCCAATAGGAAATAATCTAAAACTCCTCTTATGCCATATAAAAGATGACAGATGGAAAGGAATCTAATCCCAAGATCATTGTTTCATTACCTCCCCAACTCTGGATCCTTAGTGGAACAAACGGATTGCACTTTAGTTACATGCTCAGGCAAATACCAGGAACCTGAGTACTGTGGCCTCAATTTCCTGGGACCTGGCCTATGGTTAAGTGGACCCTCATTCCAGAATTTCTCTATGACCTCTAACTAGCCCTCTTAACTACTTTTAAGCCAGTAGATGATCTGAAGAGGTGGGTCAGGAAGCAATGGGAGGTACATAGAAACCTGTAAAATGGTTCTTGATCCAAGAGGAAGAGCTTTACTGTAATTTTCCCCTTTTCTTTCAGAACTACAAATGCCCTTCTGGCTGCAGGATGAAAGGGTTGGTTGATGAAGTCAATCAAGATTTTACAAACAGAATAAACAAGCTCAGAAATTCACTATTTGATTATCAGAAGAACAGTAAGGATTCTTATTCAGTAACCAGAAATATAATGGAAATTTTGAGAGGGGATTTCGCCAAAGCCAATAGTAAGTATTACATATTTAGTGCTCTGACTTTATAGTGAAAACAACAAAAATCCTAAATAAATATGATGTCTGCTTAGAACTACTGCAGTTTTCTTCCAAAGTACTTAGTGTAGAAACACATGCCTCCATAACATCCCTAACCTTTAAGGAAGGGCTTGTTTTTGTTATCTTTACAAAGTAAAATGAGAGATCAGCTTAGATTGCTTAAGGTCATAAGGTAAGTCAGAATTTTAGATACAAGAATTTAGGTTTGTTCTTTTCCAGAGTATATACTGAAAATAAGATGGGCCTGACCCTTTGAGTTGATATTTTTGTTTCTGTCTTACAGAGGAGGGAACTGAGTGGTCAAAGAACTTGCTCAAAGACACAAAGCTAGGAATTCAACCCCCAGATTCCACTGAGCTAATTACATACATTTTTAAATTTAAAATATAGGGTCATGCTATATCTTTCTTTTAGGGCACTCCTGAGGGCTAGGAAACACTGCACTCACTCTGGGCATGGGCAGCAAGCCTCCTGAGGCTTCAGTCCTACAGCCACGCTTTGACTCTTTCTGCCTTCAGGAGACATTTGACTAATTTAATGTTGATATCACAACACTAGCTGGCAAGTGAATGATCCTGTTGACCCAAAAAAACTTAGAAACAATTTTCAAATCTATAGATGGGAAGAAAAACTCTGCAGTAAGAAAATCCAATAATATGTTCAAGTCTCTTGATTGAAAATGTGATAAAGTAATTGGAATGAAATCAAACAAATTATTTTAACTCCTCATTATACCTTTACAATTCCAAAGAAGTTTATTCTTTGTTTCATTGGGATTAATAGTTACTGGTAGGACATCTTCACTGACATGGATGGATGACTGCGTGTCATAGCATTGTCAAATGCCTAATAGGTTTGGAACCCACAGATTCAGCTATAACGAACTACATCCAAAAATAAAATGTGGGAATATTTATAAGAAATTTCTTCTTTTAATTTTTTGCTGACAATTACAGGCCAGCCACTCAGCAGTACTTCAGTATCCGTATTTTTCTATTTCAGACTATGACAGTGCATATAACCAAGTGTCAGAAGATCTGAGAAGCAGAATTGAAGTCCTGAAGCGCAAAGTCATAGAAAAAGTACAGCATATCCAACTTCTGCAGAATAATGTTAGGTCTCAGCTGATAGAAATGAAACGACTGGAGGTAAGAATGTGGCTTCGCCCATAGATTTCCTTGTTTTTGAATAGTAGATAAAAGGAAGGCAATGGTCATGCATTGAGTGTCTACTATATTCAGAGAAAAGTGTTATATCCATTATCTACCTAAAAGTAGGTATTATTTTCCATACTCTACAGATGAAGAACAAGGTTCAGAGACATTAAGTACATTTTCCAAGTGCACATAGATAGTATGTTTCAAAAGCAAATGTTCAGTTTCTGCCTGATTCCAGAGGCCTTGACACCACCACGCCTCCGAGTCTTTGGCCTCAGTCTTACCGAAGATGGCTTACTCAGTGTTTTGGTTCAGAGGGAATAGCATCTTACTCTTGATCCTTTCTAAGGCTATGATGAGTCCAGATAGCACTCATTGCTTATCCTGGCTGGCCTTGCACTGCCCAATATCTCCTCCACTGAGGATGCTAGATAAGCAGGAAGTAAAGAGTATTGATTGGTAGGTTTCCAAGTAAAAAAAATGAAACAGGTTTCCAAAAAATAAATTAACTACCAAGGACTCAGTAGACATAGTTTATTTGTTTATAGCAACCTTTTCTCTTTATTTTTCTCCCCTCTGTCTAGGTGGATATTGATATTAAGATCCGATCTTGCAAAGGGTCATGCAGTAGGGCTTTAATTCATCAGGTAGATCTAAAGGACTATGAAGATCAGCAGAAACAACTTGAACAGGTCATTGCCAAAAACTTACTTCCCACTGGAGATAGGCAATACTTGCCACTGATAAAAATGAGCCCAGTTGCAGACTTGGTTCCTGGAAATTACAAGAGCCAGCTTCAGAAGGCCCCACCAGAGTGGAAGGCACTAATGGAAGTGCAGCAGATGAGAATGGTGTTAGAGAGGCCTGGTGGAAAAGGCAATGCCAGAGGAGACTCTGTGTCTTATGGAACAGGATCAGAGCGAGAAGGCCCCAGGAACCCTGCTAGTCCTGGCAATTGGAACCCTGAAAGCTCTGGGCCTGAAAGTGCTGGAACCCCGAGCCCTGGTAGCTCTGGAGCTGGTAGTACTGGACATTGGAACCCTGGTAGCTCTGGAGCTGGTAGTACTGGACATTGGAACTCTGGGAGCTCCAGTAGTAGCGGACATTGGAGCACTGGGAGCTCTGGATCTGGTAGTACTGGACATTGGAACCCTGGTAGCTCTGGATCTGGTAGTACTGGACATTGGAATCCTGGGAGTTCTGGACCAGGTAGTCCTGGAAACCGAAACCCTGGGAGCTCTGGGTCTGGAAGTTTTAGGCCAGATAGCTCAGGCTATGGGAGCACCAAGCCTACTAACCCAGACTGGGGCACATTTGAAGAGGTGTCAGGAAGTGTAAGTCCAGGGACAAAGAAAGAGTACCACACAGGTAAACTGGTCACTTCTAAAGGAGGGAAAGAGTCCCTGACTGGTAATGAGAAGGTCACCTCTGGTAGCACAACCATCAAGCGCAGTTCCTGCTCTAAAACTGTTACTAAGACTGTAACACGTCCTGATGGTCAGAAAGTAGTGACCAAAGAAGTAGTGACCTCCGATGACGGTTCTGACTGTGTTGACGCAGAAGAGTTGCCTCCGTTTACTGGCTTAGGTGGCCTGGATGAATTCCGCCTCAGGCACCCCGAAGAAGCTGCTTTCTTCGAGACTTCCTCTTTCACTGGAAAAACATCCCCGAGTTCACTCGAATCTCTGTTCCAAGGGTTTGGCAGTAAGAGCGAGGCTAGGGGCTCAGAATCTGACATCTTCACAAACCTAGGAGCCACCAGCTCTCATCATTCTGGTGCACCTGAATTTCCTCCCAACGGTAACACTTTAAGACACAACAAACAATTCGTAACCAGTAGTAGCACGACTTACAACAAAGGAGGCTCCACATTTGAAACCAAGAGCTTTAAAATGGCAGATGAGGCGGGAAGCGAAGCCGACCTCAAAGGAGCACATGGCATCAAGAGAGGCCATGCTAGATCGCGCCCATCCAGAGGTATCCACACTTCTCCTTTGGAGAAGCATCCCTTGACCCCCTAGACTAAGTTAATTGTTTTTGCAAAGCGCCCCCATGGCACCTTGCACTTCTTTCCTAACTCTCTACTACACTTTATTGAAATTACTTTTTTTTGGTCTGTTTTTTTTTTTTTTTTTTTTGTGGTAGACTGTAAGTTCCATGTGGGCAAGGCCTTTGTCTATATCATATTCATCTCTGTATTCCCAAATGCTTAACAGTGCAGAGAGTTATCACTCAATAAATACATTTTAAATGAATGAATGGATTCTTCTGAAACTAGATTTTGAGTTTATTTAATCAAATTCTTTCACCATTCAAATTGTGTGCTATTGCAATTGTCACTCAATTGATTAATCATATTTTTAGTGTGTGTCTCAGTTGACATTTAGATCAGGTTAATAACAAGTTGTATAGGCACTGATTGATGCTTAGCTCCCTTTGCTGGTTACTGGCTATTAGTCAGTATGTGCAAGTAAAATTCCAAATCCATTTGAGAAAAATCCCCTTTGCAATTTACAGGTATAAATAAGTTCTATCCCAATGTAAGTGCATCCTTTCCTCACAGAGGGAAGGAAGGAAGGAAGGAAGGAAGGAAGTTCCACGCTGCCGAACTCTCTTGTAGTCTTGCCAGGTCCGGTTAATTCAGTGATCCATCCATCTTTTGCTGGATCAAAAGCATCCTCCCAAACTGGTCTCTTGATCGCAATAAACAGAAAAACTTACTGGATCCCGTAGCTCGATATTGAAAATGCCACTTTGGGCACCTGAAGGATGTGTTTGGAGACATCATCACAGTCTAAAAAAAAAATTAAGCTGGTTGAAAAATACTCTCATTTAACTACAAAGATAGGCCCAGATTAAAGAAGGCAAATATTGCTTGCCTGCCTGCTTCTTCCCTC